AAGAACTACCAAGAATTCCATTCACCAAACTCTCCCAAACCTGAGCAGAGTAAGCGCATTCAAAAAACAGATGATTTCTATTTTCCCGCGCCAGGTTACAAAGAACACAGACCTCATTCACACCTGCATTCCATCTAGCAATCCTGTCCATGGTAGAGAGTCTATCAAGACTTGCCAGCCAAGCCATAAACGCATATTTGGGAGTGCCCCGAGCAAACCAGACACCTTTAGACCAACTGCATTTATCCTTCATCTCCCTAATGAGTTTCCAAGTCTCTAAAGTCGAAAAATCAGTTCTGTAACCCGACTCCCTTCTCCAAAGGCTTACATCTTCAGAATCCAAACTCAAATTCTCTTTCATGGTTCGTAAATCTTCCTCAATAAGATTTAAAAACTCCCTTCTATGTCTTCTCCTCCTACGAATACTGAAAACAGCTTCTTTAACCGTAGCTTCACATCGAATACCCATATCAATGAAGCCCCTATCACCCAAACTATCATAAAGAACACCACGGTCACTCCACTTATCAAACCAGAAAGAAGTATGCCGCCCATTGCCAATTTCTTTTCTGTAAAAACTTTTAGCAACTTCTCTAAGCTTCAACATCTTCCTCCACATCCATGATCCATTTTGTGAAGCCATTTTTATTTCCCAAAAACTCCTCTTTTTTAACACATTAGTCTTTAACCATCTGCTCCATAAAGATTTCCCAACCAACATCCTCTAAATAAGTTTTAAACCACACACTAAGTTGACCTCCTTAAGAGCTCGAACACCCAAACCCCCTTCCTCTTTTTCCTTACATATATCCTGCCAAGACACTTTAGCTCCAGTGCTTCTTAAAATAGGACCAGTCCACAAGAAAGCAGAACAAATGTGCTCCACTTCTTTCATACAGCTACTCGGAAGACGAAAAACTGCAGACCAGAAGTTAACAATACTCATAAGTACTGCTTTTATCAATTGTAACCGTCCTGCATAAGACAAAAATATGTTCTTCCAGGAGCTTATACTGCATCTTATTTCTCCAACAAAGGCTGATAATCATGTCGTCGCATCACTTGGGTCATAAGAGGAAGTCCCAAGTACCTCACAGGGAGTTTTCCTTCAGCCAAAGGAAAATTTGATAAGATCCTAACCCTTTCTTCAGCAGATACACCAGCCATGTATATCGTGGATTTCTCAATGCTAATCTTTAATCCAGACCAGACAGCAAACTCATTAAACACAGCTAGAGCACCTTCAATCGAGGCTTTTGAACCTTCCACAAATACCATCAAGTCATCCGCGAAGCATAAATGGGTAAGAGAAAGAGCTTTGCAACAAGGATGGAGTTTGAACTGATTTCCAATAGCTGCTTTGTCGATCTGCAAGGACAGGATGTTCATACAGAGAACAAAGAGATATGGAGATAGAGAACAACCTTGTCGCAGCCCTCTCGAGCTCTGGAAGTAACCAGCAAGATCACCATTTACTTGCACTGAAAAAGACGGGCTGGTGATACACAATCTAATCCAGTGAATAAAAATATCAGGAAATCCCAAAGCATCCAAGCCCTTCAACACAAAATCCCACTGAACCGAGTCAAAAGCTTTTGATATATCGATTTTCATTACACACCTCGGGGAGATAACCTCTTTATGGTAATTCTTCACCAGCTCAGAAGCTAATAGGACATTTTCCATTAACAGCCGCCCCTTAATAAAAGCAGACTGATTCTCACTAATGATGCAAGGTAGAAGCTTCTTTAGCCTATTAGCTAAGATCTTGGACACCACCTTGTAAAGAACATTACAACAAGATATTGGCCTATAATCCCTCATCACCATCGAATCAGTTTTCTTAGGGATCAAAGCCAAAATCGTTGAGTTAACGCCCTTGGGAAGAAAGCCAAACCTGAACACAGACTGAATGGCTACAATGAAATCATGCTTAACAATCGACCATGTCATCTTGAAGAATTCACAAGGGAACCCATCTGGCCCTGGTGATTTATTATCTGGCATGGCAAACAAAACTCTCTGAATTTCATCCTCCAAAACCTCAGCAGTCAACATATGACAATCTGCCTCACTACACTTGAAATTCAGAAGATTCCTCAACTCCTCCACAGTGGCACCCTTGTAATCTTCAGGACAAGTATTCAAGAGATCCGAGAAAAACCTCTCTGCTTCTTTCTTAATCTCCTTGTGTTCAGTAAGAGTATTCCCTTGCTCATCTCTAATCTCTCGAATCATATTTTGAGCTTGACGGGATTTAATGGCATTATAGAAGGTCTTATTGTTTTGATCACCCACATCTAACCAATGAAGCTTTGAACGTTGCTTAAGAAAATCCTCTTCCAAACCAGCAACATGCAACCACTTCTCATATGCAATAGCTTCATCTTGAACTGCAGTCTCACAAGGGTTTTGAAGAGTACTCTTCTGTTTTACACGCAAATCCTCATACGCCTCTTTAGTCCTTTTACTTAAATTTCCCAATCCTTCTCTTCCCAACTCCCTAATCAGAGGCTTTAGGAATTTAAGCTTCTTAGAAAACCTATATAGAGCAGAAGTAGAGTGACACAGAACCTCAGTCGTTGCCCAAAACTCCTGAATCATTGGTAAAAACTTTGGCAGAGTACCAATAGCTTTTACAAACTTAAAAGGTCTTTGAATTTTCTCTTGAGGCGGCTTTAGCTGGATCTTACAACGCATATGATCAGAGCAACCCCCAGCTTCAAAGGTTGCATAAGCGTTAGAGAATCTGTGAAGTGCAGCATCATTCATCAGCACCCTATCTAGTTTCTTGCAGATAATGCCTTCACTCTGCTTATTACTCCACGTATATAAAGGTCCCTGGTAACCCAAGTCGGATAATTGACATTGCAGGACAACCCTCTGAAAATCCCTCATACCAACAGGAACTCTATCCAAACTAGAAAACCTCGAGTTCTCATCTCCATCCAATATTTCATTAAAATCTCCCAAAATCATCCATTCCCTATTCTTAAACATTCCTGAATTACAGTGGTGACAAAGATCCTCCCACAATTCCTTCCTTTCTTCAGCAGAGTTTTTTGCATAAAGAAACGTACACAAAAACTCCTCATCACCTTCCAACCCCACAGAACAAGTGATCAATTGATCAGACTTGTAGACTGGAGTTAAACGAACAGAATCCCTCCATAAGATCCAAATCCTACCTCCAACACTACACTCGTAATTAGTCATCAGTGACCACTCCTTAAACCCCTCCCTTATAATCTTCTCAGACTTTAATTCCTTAACTCGTGTTTCTAATATACCTCCAAACTGCATATCCTTATTTTTAATCCACTCCCTAACAACTGAATGCTTCAAAGATTTGTTAAATCCCCTTACATTCCAGAAAAAGCACGACATATCAGTTTTTTTTCCGAGAAGGCCTTGTGCTTTTAGCAGGATTTACATCCTGAGCTTTAGCTTTCAGACCTCTCTTCATCCCCTTTTTACCCACTAGTTTATCCTCTTCTCTACTCTGCTGCTCTATAATGTCATCATCAACCTGATGACCATCCGACATACTATCTTGCTCACTACCAATAATTTCCTCTTCCTTTTTCTCTTGAAACTCACTACCAAACCCACACTCTTTATCTTCTTATGAATCATCAACAGTTAGAACAGAAAACTTCGAGGCTGAAATCTGAACTTCTGAAACATGACTCGGTGAAGACCTCCCTGCTTTCGCTAATGGAACCTTCGACCAGTTAAGGTCTTGATTACCATTTTGCGCATTTGATACTTCCCCCACTTCTTTATTACTCATCTCACTTTTCGAACCCACAACCACTACATCCAAATTTTCTTCATTCGTACTCTCCACATGATACTTTTCCCCACTCTTACCACTCATACCTTCACTTTTCCCCTTCTCTTTACCATTTTTAACACAAACTCTCTCCGTGTGATCCCACTTATCACACAAATTACACTTTGCTGGCAACCAAGGATAGTGAAAACCCACTATAAACTCATGTCCGTCCTTTGTGAACTCGATCTCTTTTGGCAAAGTTTTTGAAACATCAACATTGACAAAAACTTTAGCAACTTCCAGATTTGTGCAAGCAAGCGTCTCCGGATGCAATCTATCAGGGAACCCCACCGTGCTAGCCATAAAACTAATACCCTCCCAAGAATACATGTGTAGAGGTACCTTTTTCAAGTGCACCCACATTGGAATCTCATTCTCCTCCTGTTTCTCTTCCTCTGTCTTGGGAGTCCATTTAGTTACTAGCATAGGGACACCAGCTATGTTCCACATGCCTCTCTTCAGCACCTTTTCACGAGCCTTAGGATTTGAGATCCGAAAGCGCATCATCGTAGCATTGACCTCGTAAACATCCACCTTAGACGCTAACTCTCCGTAAGACCATATCTTATTCACCACCATATGGACCTTCGCCATGTGAGGAGCTAGATCCAAAAATTTCCCAACCACAAAATCATCCCATAACGGAGTTGAATCCGCAAGAGTCTCCTTTGGAATCTCCACCTTGTGCTTCCCATCTCGCATCGATACTTCAACCTCATACTTCTTCAAGCTTTTCTTATCTCTCGCTGCAGAAACCCATCTCTTAGCTTCCATCGAAATTTTTCCCCCTTCTTGTTTCCCATCCGATCGATCACTCCTCTCATCGCCAAGAGTCTCCAAGCGCTGTCCCAGAGGATTAGAATCCCCCGGAGGATGCGCCGAATCCATCGCGAAGCACGGTCACTTTCAATCTCACAATCGCCCCAAAATCGCCCCAAATCTGATGCTTTGGTGTTTCATTGGAGTTGTTTTGGTAAATGACACATAATTTTTTTTTCTTTAAGTTCTTAATATTGTCATTATAGATTTTTCTTTTATTAAAAAAATTATTTTCCACAAAAAAAAAAAATATTATCCGTCCCAGTAGGCGGGAAGAAAAAAGGGGGGAAGGAAAACAATAATTTTGGAGGCTCTAGTTTAGGTTAATTATTTTGGTTAGTGAGAAATATTTAGGTGATGGAGGTAGCGCTTAAAATGGCGATGGAGGGCATTTGACACAAGTTCCAGAGAGAATGAGGACACGCCGTCGTAACTACACGACAGCAACTGAGCCGTCGTCCTCGTTACCGGAAGCCCTCACAGTGAAGCCCATAGTTCCAAAGTCGGGCACAAAAAGAATCCAATCGTGAGTAATTTTGCCCCTTTCTTAATCAAATTTCGAGGGTGTAGGATCTCTCAGTTCTGTTTGTAGCTTTCTCTACACCAAACATCAGTGAGAAATGTCCCAATTCAATTGTAGTTGTTTCTCCCTTTAAAGTACCCTCAGCTGTTCTTCTTTTTCTAATCGTCTCGTCAGATGCAATGCAAAAGGGAAAGGAACAAAGTCAAAGAAGAAGAAGAAGTGTATAACAACAGGACTGTGGGATCGACTTATCCCCAAAGATATCCTGGAGGAGATACTGTCCCGCCTCGGATTAAAAGACAACATACAAGCTTCCGCTGTCTGCAAGACATGGTGTGAATCAGCTGTTTCTGTCCGTAAGGTCCCGTGTCGCCCATGGCTTCTTCATCCAATAGATGACTGGAAACTTACTGGCAATCCTTACCTCCTTGATCCACTAAACCCTCATCATCCGTCTCAAAAATATAAGCTCAACTTCCCATACAGGAGGTTTAAACCTGATGGAATGTCTTATTCTAGGGATGGTTGGGTGCTTGCGAAATCATCAACTCGCATGTATTCATTACTTTTTAACCCCTTTACCAACAAGTTAATCTGCTTACCCAAGGGGTCAGTCTATCATTTAAGGTCTCGCCTAGCTTTCTCAGCTGCTCCTACTTCCACTAGCTGTGTGGTAATCTCCTATGCTCGACTACCTACAACAGAAGAATTTCTGATCGAAACTTGGCAGCCTGGTGAAGACACATGGACCACCCATCGCTTTGAGAACTCTTTTCGTGGGTGGGACAAATGTGTCTTCTCCAACGGTGTGTTCTACTTTCTCAGTACTTGTGGCTGCCTTGGTGTTTTTGACCCGTGTGAAGCAACGTGGAATCTTCTTCCAGTGAAACCCTTTCTTTTCCCAGAGCCGGTCTTCATCATGGAGCATGAAGGAGACATCTTTGTTATGTGTTCACGCCTCAACAGCAACAACCATATTGTGTTTAAACTAAACATGAAACGAAATGTATGGGAAGAGAAGAGAGATCTTGGAGGCTTGACAGTATTTGCAAGTTCCACTGGCTCTTTTATAAGAGCTTGTCTCTCCGCAGAGGATATGAACAGAATATATCCTTCTCATTTGATTTATGGCTCTTCTCGCCCTCCAAAAACCGATTTATCTAACCGGGTCGCTTGGGTAGAGCCACCTCAAAACTACATGGATTTGCTGTGACTTCTTTGTTTTTTTTTTGTAACTTTATTTATGTGTTTCCAAAGGGCTTAATGTGAATTAGTTTCAAGTCAGTGTTTTAACATTGTATCTCTGTGAACTGAACTACTTCCTATTAATCTGCAGTGTAATGCCTAGTCTTTTCAGAATTACACACAAGGGTTTCAATAAGATTCTAGGACACTAGTACTACTTCTCTGCAGCGGGCTGTTCTGGTGGAATGTTTGTTAAATGTGAGAATCTATTGTCGGTCTCATATTGTCAATAGCAGCTGCTAGATAATCCAACTTTGCTACAAACTAGGAGGAAACATAATGTAAACGAGATATCAATGTACTGTCCTATAGTAATCTGTCCTTGCCAATGGAATAAAAACATGTTCAATTTAATTTCTTACCAAAGCTATCGCTTCTCCGCGATATATGTTCTTGCAAATTGTACGCCATTTTGCTATCTGCATTTTAAAACTAATAACACCAGCCGAGATCAAGGCATGACTTGTCGTATTTAGCCTCCACATTTTATTTTATCTTATTTTGTTGATGGAACACATTTATACTTGTGTGGAAGATATCATTATTACTATCAAACACACTTGTACTTGTGTCCAAAAAAGCATAAAATGGCCATTTGAACTGAATGGATTAGAAAGGATTATAAAGGACAACGTATATAGGGGTCAAATGAGTGTACATGTTGAAGTTCCACACCACGTATATAAGAATCAAAAGTTTGTACTGCAGTTAAGAGAATCACACCTCACATACATGCAAGGTTGCTTCACACCGCGAGCCGCCCACCAAACTGTAAGCTCAGGGATTTTATTGTTATCGAGTTAGTATATATTGGTAGAGTTCATTAGCTAGATTACGGCTTTAGGGATTTTATTGTTATCGAGCTTTAGTGTTCTAAGCTGCGATTCTGGTGTTAGCAATTGGTGAGGCTTGTCTCGACCTTTGTGCTTTAGGTAGATTAAGAATTGGTCCGTCTCTAGTCAAGCTGTGACTTTTGAGTAAATCGGATTAAACATATCTAGTGAAATTGTTTAAGTGATTCTTAATAAATCAAGTTAGTTTTCTTGGAAATCGTTCAAGTTGTTCTATTGTGGTACCCATACAAAATTTCACAAACCACTACGCACATGTGGGGCGGGTATGAACAATAGTTTTGTGATGGCAGACCACAGCGGACCAGCCAGCAATGTCCAATTTAATTCGATGCCTGTAGTGGATTGGGTCATTTGGACACGGACTGCCCCGTTTGACATCTCTATATGAAACAAGAAGCTACACAATCCAACTCCCATTCTTTTGTTAAAAGATAACGGAACAATGTAGCTCATGTTACAGCAGGACCTTTAAACGGAGTTTTCTTTGATGCTTGTATTTCTCCACCAACATGGTTAAATCCAAGTTTGTATTCAGATTTATTTCTTCAAAAAAAATTGAATATTAGTACAGATACTTCAGCGAAATAAATGCTTTCATACACGTTACACAATGACTGTCGATTAGTAATGTCTTATCTAACATAATTCAAATCTAACTACAGACGCTAACCAGACATTTTCTTTCCGCGTTAATGTAAAATTCACCAACAACAAACGCATAGACAAATGGATGTTGAGATATAAAGAAGTGGAAGGAACATAACAAATGGTGTGTTTTCTTTTGGTGCGAGAAGTACCCATGAAAAAAAATAAGAGCAAAATGAATAGACAAAAATCGAGGACAGGTCGAAAAGCCAGGCATGTGCATATGCAACACAAATCCTCAACGTTACAAGTAACAAAGCACACAACTACTAATATTTATCTGTCTATCTGCACATGCCTCAATTTCGACCCTAACAGCATCTTTTACTCCCCTAGCTGGTTATATCTTACTCACCTGCTTTTTCACCCTTCGCCTCTGGTTCAGTTTCCGGTTTAGTATCGGGTATAGCATCAGGTTTCATTTCAGATTTGGGGTTTGGTTCGGTTTCCGGTTCAGCATTTGGGTTTGACTGGGGTTCGAGTTCAGCTTTGGGGGTCGGTTTGGGCTCCTCCTGTTCAGCCTCAGGTTTTGGTTCAGATTTGGGAGATTCAGTCTTATCATGATGGAACTTAACAACAATGCATGTGATGTTGTCCGCGCTGCCACCAGTGAAGGCTGTGTCCGTTAGCTTGCGGGCAGCTGCCACGGGCTCCTCTTAGCTCTCAGCAAGGGATACTGCATCCTGAATCCGACGAAACAAAAAAAAAAAAAGAGAACAATTACATCTTGAACAATCTGGAAACAGGTACAGGGGGAAGAACTGATCTGAGTCGTACCTCATTTGTTACCACATCCCATAAACCGTCACTTGCAAGCACAAGAAACTCGGCCTCATGACCTATCTCTAGATCCTGCAAAAAATAAGCAGAGGAGTGAGTTCACAGGATACTAAGTACTAGGATGCTGAAGTTATAAGCGGTTACTTGTATCTCGGGTTCAGCAACAACAAATTGCTTCAGCATCCTGTTTCCAAAGGCCCGGGACATTGCCAAGACTCCACCTACCCTCCATGTTCCTGACAAATTAAATCCAAATGATATTACTTTAAACCTAGGCTGGCAAAGAGATCCAGAGGAGGATAAGTAAAGGGCATGCTCTTAATAATATTGATTGTTTAAAGAGTGAATAACTAACTATACAGATAGAATGACTCCATAAGATGGTTTGTGGGTCAGTTTTCTCTAGAAACTCAAAATACTATTGGACCTTAAAGCAGACTAGGCAAACCAACGGGAAAATGGCCTATTCCAACCTGAACTTTACCGGTCGTGCCTCTTCATTCCCGAACTTTGTAGTAGTGCGCATTTCATACTGAACTTAATAAAAACTTAAAAAATACTACCTGAACTTTACTCATCGTACCTTTTCATTCTCAAATTTTACAGCAGTGCATATTCCAGACTAAACTAAGTAAAAGTATAAAAATACTACATGAACTCTCAAAATCGTGCTTATATATATAAACCATCAAATTTGTTAGTCATCCATTAATTTATCAAAACGACGTTAGTTTCGATAAGTTTTCTAATATAGAAATTTAAAAATACTACATAAACTTGCAAAATAGTGCTTATATATATTAACCATCAAAGATGTTACACATCCGGTAATTTATCAAAACGACGTTATTTTTTATAAATTCTGTAAATTATTTTAAAAATACAACGCAAACTCTAAAATTTTTTCTTATATATATATTGATCATCAAAGATTTTAGTCTGTTAATTTATCAAAACAACGTCATTTAGGATAAATTCTATAAAACTAAAAAATTATGGGATGTTCAAATTCTCACACTAATGGACAAGTATAAAATGAATATTTAAATTAATAATAATTAAGTTAAATTTTAAAAGATAATTATTGGTAAATTTAAATTTAAAACATAAATAATTATATATTGATTTGATAAATTAAAAAAAAAAACAAAAAAATGATAACATTTTATTTGATTAAAACTTATATAAATTAATGTTAACACAATTTATACAAGAAAGTTACTTTGGTCTAGCAATTTTGATGTTCTTACTTGTTCACCAATGTGAAATTTTGAACCTTCCAAAAAAGTATTTTTAATTTTACAGAATTTATCCAAAATGATGTTGTTTTCATAAGTTAACTAATGAGTAATATCTTTTATGATTAATATATATATAAGCATGGTTTTGCAAGTTTATGTTGTATTTTAATTTTATAAAATTGATCTAAAATGACATCATTTTGATAAACTAACGGATGACTGACACATTTGACGGTTTATATATATAAGCACGATTTTGAGAGTTCGTGTTGTATTTTTATACTTTTGTTTAGTTCAGAATGAAATATGCACTACTATAAAGTTCAAGAAGAAAAATGCACGATCTGTAAAGTTCATATAATATTTTTAAGTTTTTATTTAGTTTAGTATGGAATATGCACTATAACAAAGTTCGGGAAGAAATAGGCACGATTAGTAAAGTTCAGGTTGAAATAGACCATTTTCCCGCAAACCAACAGTCAATGACACTGTATTATCAAAGTTCTTGAATGAAATATCGAGCCTCTTGAGTAGCGAGTCGTCTACCTCTAACTCTTGAGATAATTATGTACAATCCCGTTATGTCATGTTCAGAAACAAGTAACCAATTGGGGGCACACAAGTTAGGGACGATTTCTTATATATCAGATTACCTGCCAACATGATAACACCACCAGCGCTTTCAATTAGCTTTCTTTCATCGCTTCTATTAGGCTTATGGTCATCTGATAGCGCAATCGCTACAAAATACAAAACACTGAATTTAAAGGGGTCATCCTTAATTTGTAAAAACTTTAAATCAAGATTTTTCACTATATTGTTAACAATTAATATAAATAAATTTTTAACAACACATAAATATATAAATATATAAATACTAGGGTTGGCTAGCGCTACGCGCGGGATATGATGGTCATATGATGTATATAATGATACTGTATATTTGCATTTCATGTGTTTTATATTAAGATTTGCAAGAAGAGTGTATAATAACTTTGATGTTATGTTTGGGCGTGGATGGTTTGTAAATATTTAGATTAGTGCATCTACTTTCAAAATCATTGAGCTTGCTCGCCGTACGGCGAGCTGAACCAATCCTCGAGTTTCTCTCTCGAGTCTTGATCGCGCTGATTCTCATTTCGTCTCAATCGGAATTTCCATCAGGATTTTACGACAAAACCGCAAAGACTTGTTTCTTCGTATAAGTTCGAATTAATCGTCTAAAACGGCAACGGTTGACTTAACACCAAAGCTGCCTAAACTATACGAAAAATCTGAACTCTCTAGACCCAATCCGGTTTTACGAAACTCTGCCACGCTAAGTCGAAAACATCCAATCATAAACACGTGATTGATTTTTTAGATAATACAAAGCGCACCTAGTCAGTCAAATAAAACCAGCAACACGAAGAAACCAGAACATGAGCTCCGATGTTTAAGTCTTCTCCCCGCTCTGATACTCTTGCTGGCAATTCATCGAAGACTGGTAGGTCAAAAGACGAAGAACGAAGAATAGACGATCCCAAATCATCGATGAAACTAAGGTATGTCCGATTCGAAAATTTTATTGGACTTCTAATTTCTCGTAAGTAAGAAACGAAAATGTCTTGTAAACTGCCGTGAAACCTAGAGAACTTAGAATTTAGAGAATAGTCTAGCATGCTAACTCGTAAGCAATTTTTGTCTATCTCGATTTGTTGTTTTCTAACCATTCAGGCATAACTCGCAAACCGATCCAATCTCTCATACAACCGAGAAACGATCGTCACACATTCAAACGTACTCATTTCCTAAAAGAAAGAGGGTGCTAGAGACGCTGACGTTGTCTTAAAACCGACTCGCTCCTAGAAGTTTTCATAAATCAGACATACTCCAAATCATCTCCGATCCACCATGGTCTTTAATCGACCCGGATTGTCGATCATCCCAATCCTTCAAACGAAACTCGTCTTTCTTCTTTCGGCGAACATTTTTCCTCGCATCAAGAAAACGCTTTCTAAAATAAGCGGAAAAATATTCGGACGATGCAACACCTCGTCGAAATCATCCCAAAAGCAAACGACAATCTAAAAACCGTCTAAGCGCTAAAGACTGATCCAAACCGTCTGGGAAATAATCTCGAGGACTATACAGCATCTCTCGTCTCAATCATGCGGTTAGAAAATCTCTGCGAAACTTCAGAGCGAAACTCGATGATTTGCCGAAGTCATAAAGATCTTCTCAAACTTGATAAAACAAGTATAAGAATCGAAATCTTTAGGCATCAAAGCATTGATCTCATTTTCCGTCAAACCAAGTAAGTCACAGAATAATGTCAAGAACATTTGCGGCGAAAGAAAAATTGAGAACACAAAGCAGCAATAGAGAACACGTCCTTCCTCCTCCCCGACTGATCCTATTGCTGATTATGTGATTCATTCCGTCCGAGAAACCCGCCAAAACATTTTACGACTAGATCTCGGTGAAATAACTTTTGGTAAAACTCCGCGAGTGACTTCGAAAAAACCATCACCGAAAAATCAAAAACTAAGCGGAAAGGTTTCTCGAAAAATCTGCGGAGACATTGTTAACCCAATGCGTCGTGCCGATTCATCGCCCGTTGCTTACGCGAGAAATCCTTCGTATAGTCAGGATCATGTCATAACGAAGTAACTTTCAAAGTAAACGTAATAGATTTTGCGAAAAGTACATTCTAAGCTATACGATCCGGCACTAAGCGACCAATCTAAAATTTTCCTCCTCCCGACACGATCTGAAAGATCTCACTCTTTAGCCCTTCGGTTCACAAGCATCCGCTCTCATTCCTTCCGATTACATCCGAGAATGAGACCGCCCCGCAAACGACTCCACACGGGCTCTACATCGAGCTTCTTAGGATCTGTCTCCCTCGAGCAAGAAAGAAAACAACTTCCATACAAAGGAAAGTTTATACAAAACTTTCATCATATAAATCAAACCTACAACGGAAAAACGTTTTCTATAACCACGGGCATACTTGGCATATCAAGCTCGACAAACGCTACTTGGCTATTGTCCGATCACGCTTCACTTCAATGCCAAGTTTACGAACCGACTCGACCTTTTCGATAGCACGAAAGTGTCGTGGTTTAATCCTCTACCAGATACGACCTTGGCTGTGCGGCTGAACACAACCTTCACGCCAAGCCAATACATTCAACGGATAATGCAAACTTGTCAAAAAATCGGCTAAGTTCTGTATTCTCGCGATTCACTCTATTCCCGAAGCAAGTTGCCTACAAAATCCGACATATAAGAAAACACTCGTACCAGAGCTCCTAAAGCCGTACGAATCTCGGAGGGTCAACACTTCACAAAGCACCGTATCGAAAAACGCTTCGTTTCGGGGAAACAACTTACGCGACCTCTCGGTCCTAACTGCTCTAGCAGAATATCCGCAAACGAACCAAAGTGTTCATGAAAAGCAGGGTTAAGACAAAACCTTCGCAACACCGCGCAACATCTTCCAGCCCGCAAACGTTCCGAACACGAAACGTGGCATATAAAATAGAAACCAACTTTCGGCACTGCGAGACGTCGCAGACGCCCGAAGATTAGTTTTTCGACATAAATACCTTCCTCGATAAAGTCATTTTCTTGGAAGACCTAACAGTCCGTTCGCGACTATAAAATACGCAAAACTTCTTAACGTACGTATCCTTCGCGAAGGCCAAAACAACGTAAACATCTATCGCCTAAAAATTTTGTTGCTGATCACAACAAACTCGCAACAGTCCTAAACAAACTTAAGTTATCTCGCAGAGATAGCTCTCGAACACCCGACACAAGGGTAAAGGCGCTATAAAAGAAATA